TGGCAGGTAAGCTGTGTGGTTTTGGAGTGGATTTCTCTGCGTTAAGGCTCTTAATCTGTGGGGCCGATGCAGAGCTCCACAGATATGCGACTGTTCAGCTCCGTAGTCGGCCACGCCCCCCCAAAAATGTACATTTTAAGCCCAAAAATGAACTTACAAATTATGCTCCAGTTGTATTTGGTAAAATTGTGAATATGTGGGTATATTTAATATTCAACTCCATTAATAGTCTGGTTATTTGCCCTTTTTATGAAATGTTGCCAGTGATAATCTACTTTAGTGCAAAGGAAAATGTTGCAGTAATTTTCTTTAAATGTGTGACTGATAATTTAGGCCTTAATTTAATTTAATTTAATTTTGTTTTTTTTCCGAAAATTTATCAAAAAAATAAACAATAAAAGACTTAAATAAAAAATACAAACAGACAATAGGACAATAAATACATTCAGACAGTTCTAGCACTCTAAGATACCAAATTTTAATTTATTACCCTTAATTATCACCTTATTTATAAATTAATTTAATGTTTTTTAATTGATTTTTCAAATTATTTAACATTTTTGGATAAACTTTTATAATGATTTTATTTTTAAATATAAAAATATAAAAAATATTTTATGTAAACTTTTATTATCAATATAGCAAAAATATGAGAATATTAAAATATTTTTTGAAATATTAAATCATTTGAAAAGTTTATCAAAAAATATAATTTAATTTGAAATACTTATCCAAAAATATTAAATCTAAAGCCTTAGTTAAATTTATCAGATTAAAAATGTGTAGCCATTTTCTTAGGACTAATGATTTATTTGTATTTATTTTTTTGTTTTTGTTATTTTAAGACGCGCTATATAAGCATATTAATATTCGTATTAGATATATTGGTGTATCTTTGTCATTCTGGCAATGGCTCACCAACCTTTATAGAAGCTCACTAATTAAGCCACATTAAATGTATTCGCCGTGGCACACTGTAGTGCAACTTGCAAAGCTCATATACGCACGTAAAGACACAATAGTTCATTGACAGAGGGAATTAGAAAGTGTGTCTAAAGCCATTTTTAATTGACAAGAAAAACGTGTGCTTGGTATGCTGTCCACAAATGCACTTTTGATGGCCTGACAAGCTCGCTTTGCAGATTGGCTTAATTCCAAAATCCCAGCACATCCACAATGTAAAATCAAGGAAGAGGCGCTCACTGGGAGCACATTAAAATGTTTTTCATAATGTTGATTTACACACAAAAAACAGAATTATGCAAGATCCATCAAACGGTCTCCCTTGCTTACGCTCTTCATGTACAGCAAAGTATAAGTGTACCTCTGTGGAGGAATCCTCCCAGGAACTTGCTCGTACTTGATTTTAGTATGCTCCTTAATATATTATCTATTTTTTTTAGATTTTATGCTTATTAGAGGTCCAGCAGCTTATGTGAAGTCTGGATCGTGTTTCGGATCTAAGACCGTAAGAAAAGTATGAGATCTCTCTAGGCAGCAAGAAAAGGTTTTTTTCTGGATCACAAAATTAGGGTAATCAAAAATGTTAACGTAACTGAGTGATAATATGAAAATACGAGAGATAAAAAATATGTGTAAGAAGCAGTAAAGGATGGAAGCAATGAGTCTATTATCATCCGTAAATTCAATAGGCTGGTGAAAAGATAGAGCTCTTATAGCGAACGTTTAGAATAGATATAAGTAAGTAGACCCATCCTCCTAGCTGTAATATAGTAACAGTATTGTGTAAACCAGGAGTGCCCTCAAGGCAGATCCTAAGATGTTGTAGAACTACAACACCCATGATGCTATGCATGTCTTTAGAATGTCTTTGACATGGCAAAGTATCATGGAAGCTGTATTTTTAAATTATCTTGAGCTCTACTTTTTAGGCACCCCTTGTGTAAACTTTTCTCTAGTGTTTCAAATTGGTTTTAATAATTACTTCAAGTTTCTGGAGAGTCTGGGGACACTGGAGGAAGACTAGCTGGTTATCTCTCATATCAGACAACATTTCGTATGTGGGAGATTTGGTTATTAGAATGTGATAGAAGGTCTTCCCATTTGTTTGTTAAATATTGTAAATATTGTCTACCCGGCCACGTTAAAACAAGAACATTGTCATCGGACATGTGGCATGGTTGTCCAATAATTATACAGAATTTAGAAATACAATACAATTACATTAAGATTGATAGGATTTTTCCTTACTTACAGTAACCAATGTAATTATAGTTAATATTCATTAATGTACCAGTTCATATAATAGGGTTCTGTCCTTGGTCCACGTCCATTTAATCTGTTTATAAATGATCTTGAAGTGGGCATTGAAAATCATGTTTGGGTGTTTGCAGATGACACAAAACTAGGTAAGATAGTACAGTCTATGAACATGATATAACTTCTCGACAGAATGATTTGGATAAATCGGGGACTACAGAGGCAGGTTGCAAATGATATTCAATATAAATAACATAACAATAATATAGATAAATGGAAAGTCATGCGTTTTGTAATAAGGAACCGCAAGCAACATATACGTTAAATAGAGGTGAGCTGGAAAACCTTTAAATGAAAAGAACTTGGGAGCAATTATAGATCACAAACTAGGCAACAGTGTACCATGTGGACCTGTCACTGCTATGACTACTAATGTGCTGTCATGGATAAAAAGGGGGATTGATTCTTGACATCAAAATATAAGTTTGCTCATTTATAAATCATTAAGGTGCAGTGAAATTGTGGGTTCCAGTTTTACCAATCTATAAAAAGTGCAAAGGTGAGCTAGAACATTAATAAAAGGGATGGAAAAGATTATTTATGAAGAAAGGCTAGAAAAAACGAAATTGTTTTCAATAGAAAAAAAAGGCGCCTCAGGAGGGATATGTTAGCACTATACAAATATACATAAGGTCAGTACAAACCGCTGAGTGCTAACCTGTTCATTAGCAGGAATATACAACAGACAGGGGGTCGCCAATTGAGAGTGGAAGAAATGAGTTTTTACTTACAGCGAAGGAAAGGGTTCTTTACAGTGAGAACAATAAAGATGTGGAATTTTCTGCTTAAAAATTCAGATTCTATACATTGCTTTTTCAAAACGTCTGGATGTGTTGGGTTATTTATTTATTGGGCTATTGATCCAAGGAGAAACCTGTTTACCATCTTGTAGTCGTGACAGAAATGTTTTTTACTTTTTGTGACATTGGGCAGGTGTGGTTGCCTTTTTTTGGATCAACTATAGAAGAAGATGAGTTTTAAAGGTTGAACTCGATGGACTTGAGTCTTCTTTCACCGTAGATGTAACGATGGAATGTCTTCCATACATGGAGCGGTTTCTACATAATAACCTGTCTAGGAAGAGTATTCTAAGGCAACTATTGTTTAGATCACACAGTGTAACATGTTGATATCTTCTAATATGTTTTCATTTTTGTGACATTCGATTGATGAATGTTTTGTGTTTTTCTTACTGATTTCATTTTCTGTGAGATTATTAAATTCAGCCGCTCACACTGACATATTGAGTCAGGCAACTGTACCAAATCCAGCCCTATTTCAATGTAACAGTGAGCAAGAGGTAGGCTGGCTAAGCATTGTTGGATTTGGAGTTCACTACAGCTGTGGTTCACATTGTTGCTTCCACCGTTCTTTATCTAAACATTCAGTAAAGATGTACGAAATGAATAGCATTCCTTGTGCTATCATCCTGACTATTTATATGTTACCATACGGGGAGGGGAAAGGGGGGCGGGTGGCTGCTTTTTATTTATTTCTTTATTTTTGACTACTTTACACACAATAACATTAAGCAAAGTGAGCAATAAGGAGTTATGTTCTAACCCAACGCACAGAGTGATAAACTATGTAAATGTAACCAAAAATCTTTACATGCAGTTATTGTAATTATAGCGGATATATTGTACATCATTTAACTAATGTAAGTCACAATATATACAGTAGATCAGCTCCTAGCCTTTCAACCTACTGTGACTTTATTTGGTCACAGAAGGAAGGTAACATTTTAGTTAACAGGTCTCTTATTCCGAACTATTATCCTGTATTTATTCAGTTCATTACTGGTATCTGGGTATGTGCTGATGAGATAGCTCAGTAGTTGATACTCCAGCAGTTTTTAGAGATCCTGGTGGGATTCCTTGTTAGTCTTTCATCCTCGTTTGGTCAATAAATGAGAACACGTTAGCTCTTGATTTAATAGTGTTGGACAAGCATTTCAAATGATTTCATATTTTTTTGGAGAAACATTTAAAATGATTTATTTAAAATATTAAAATATCAGAAAATATATCATACATAAAAAATGTGTGTGTGTGTGTGTATATATATATATATATATAAAAAATGTTCAAAAACAAAACCATTTTAAAAGTTTATCAAACAAATGTAGAGATATTGAAATATAATTATGAGAAATTGAGAGTTTTTCCAGTCCAGATATTTAGCCTCCAATTTGCATTTCCCTAGTGTTTCCCAACACTTCATGGTTTAGTGAATAACCCTAAAAATATATTTACTTCTTGGGGAATTGGTGGCCAACTTCAGCCAGAATAATCACATTCTGTCCACCGAGTTTAACTATTTCCTGGTCAATTCCTGTCAATTCCCACTTTACAGGGATCTTCTCTAAAGTGAGAATTTAATGTGAAATCAAAATGAATTTCAAACTTAAGGGGTTAGGTCGGGTATTCTGGCCTCAAATCTGAAATTCACTTTTATTTCACTTAGTGAATAACCCTGATGGGGAATGGCCCAGGTGGCTCACAGACTGTCTATTTTTTATTTATAAATACCAAATACTCTATTGTAGTGACTCGCAACCCAAACTGCAAAGCCTAGGCAACAATATTTTATATTCAACATTGCCCATAGCCAGCACTCACCCTCCCATGGCTACCTACACTGTAGTAAGCATTCACTGTCCCATGGCTACCTACACTGTAGTAAGCACTCACTGTCCTATGGCTACCTACACTGTAGCTCACTGTCCCATGGCTACCTACACTGTAGTAAGCACTCACTGTCCCATGGCTACCTACACTGTAGTAAGCACTCACTGTCCATGGCTACCTACACTGTAGTGAGGACTCACCCTCCCATGGCTACCTACACTGTAGTAAGCGATCACTGTCCTATGGCTACCTACACTGTAGTAAGCACTCACTGTCCCATGGCTACCTACACTGTAGTAAGCACTCACTGTCCTATGGCTACCTACACTGTAGTAAGCACTCACCCTCCCATGGCTACCTACACTGTAGTAAGCACTCACTGTCCTATGGCTACCTACACTGTAGTAAGCACTCACTGTCCCATGGCTACCTACACTGTAGTAAGCACTCACTGTCCCATGGCTACCTACACTGTAGTAAGCACTCACCCTCCCATGGCTACCTACACTGTAGTAAGCACTCACTGTCCTATGGCTACCTACACTGTAGTAAGCACTCACTGTCCTATGGCTACCTACACTGTAGTAAGCACTCACTGTCCCATGGCTACCTACACTGTAGTAAGCACTCACTGTCCCATGGCTACCTACACTGTAATAAGCACTCACTGTCCCATGGCTACCTACACTGTAGTAAGCACTCACTGTCCCATGGCTACCTACACTGTAGTGCGCACTCACTGTCCCATGGCTACCTACACTGTAGTAAGCACTCACTGTCCCATGGCTACCTACACTGTAGTAAGCACTCACTGTCCCATGGCTACCTACACTGTAGTAGCACTCACTGTCCCATGGCTACCTACACTGTAGTAAGCACTCACTGTCCTATGGCTACCTACACTGTAGTAAGCACTCACAGCACTCACTGCCATGGCTACCTACACTGTAGTAAGCACTCACTGTCCCATGGCTACCTACACTGTAGTAAGCACTCACCCTGCCATGGCTACCTACACTGTAGTGAGGACTCACTGTCCCATGGCTACCTACATTCTAGTAATCACTTGCCCTCCCATGGCAACCTACCTTTTAAATAAGTACTCGCCCTCCCAGGGCTACCAACACTGTAGTAAACACTCACCCTGCCATGGCTACCAACACTCTTGTAAGTTCACACTCCAACAGCTACCTACACTCTAGTAAGCCCTTGCCCTCCCATGGTTATCTACACTCTAGTTGACACTCACCCTCTCCTGACTATATACACCCTAGCCAGAACTCACTGCCCTGACTACATGCACACTAGCCACTAGCACTACATTCAGATCATCACTTGCCCTCTCCTGGTTGTACTTCAGTTAGAGCTTGCCCTTCCCTGGTTATTGTTTGGCAAGGCTGCGATGCCATTTGCACAGCCATTTCCTTTGTGTTTAGAGGACACTGCATACTCGGCTGTCGGCTGCTGTGGAAACAATCTTTTTGATCATGTTTTTTTGTCTCACTGTTTCATGAAAATTCATTAATCTGTGACATTTAAACACTGTGTCTGAGAGGTGTCTGCTGCTGGGGCCGGCTGCCTGCATCAATACTGTGCTGAGATTCTGGCATCTCGTCAATATTTAGGGGGCCCCAGCAACAGCACTTGGATGTAGCGCCTGCCAAGAATCACGCACTCACCGGCTCCTTAACGAGCTTCAGCTAACGGATATTAGAGCGTCAAATCCTATCACGGCTTCGTAACACGTAGCAAACAGTCTCACCCTCTCCTCCTCCCTGCTCTCTCTCTCTTTGCTCTCTCAGTCCTTGTTTATCTGATGTCATTCACAAAGCCATAAATATGGATGTTAGAATGTAACAGAGACGCCTTTATCAAACCTGAGGCTCAGGACATCACAGCCAAATCTGGTTATATGTCGCCACTCTGGGAGAAGGCATACATCAATTCCTCCACGCTGTGAAATAATTGTTCTGCATCGTTCGTGTTGTTTGCATCCCAAGTTTGAAGAAAAAAAGCGACATTTTAGGAAGCAGAGAAAACAATGTAATTTATCCTAAACCTGAGATATGAGGAGTCATGTCAGTTCAGATCTTTGACTTTAAATCCATCCTCAAAACACACTAATGCACTATGGTAGAGAGAGCTCCCAGCTTGAGATTTAGGTTTGAATTAATTAACCAACATATTGAATTGGAGTTTAGTCAGAATTCATTTGGAGGTGACCGCTATTATTACTTTAATAAAGCCCTTATTAAAGCGACTAGTCATGTATTTTCTGCTAAATTTAAAGGTCATTATTCTCTTTTAATTCTGGTCGACCTCTGTGCTGTTTCGGCAGGGTCCACCAGTCGCTCCTTCTTCAAACTCTTCAGAAATGTGGCCTCTGTGACTCTCTACTTTCCTGCTTCTCATCCTACCTTTCCCAAAGTTTTTTTTGTGTTGCCTTTGCTGGTGCCACCTCTGCCCACAACCAGTCTCCGCTGGAGTCCCAAGGGTCAGTTCTTGGCCCCTTTTTGTTCCTTGTTTACACTACTTCTTGGTGACCTTATTGGCTCCTTCAGGTATTAGGGCCATCTAGATGTTGGCGACAGTCCGATTTACCTCTCCTTAAATGGCCTCTCTTCTGCCGATCTGGAATGTGTCACTAATTGCCTCCCTTCCATGTCTACCTAGATGTCTTCCTGCTCTCAAACTAACGCTTTCTAAAACAGTAAAATAGTCCACCTCCGTCTAACAGGTCAATGAAACCTCTATTACCCCAGCCCCCACTGCCTGCATTTACTTCTAATTCAGGTCTCACCTTTTCTCTTTATGTCCAGTCTGTCTCCAAAACTTGTAACTTCCACCTTAAAATATAAAATACAAGCTGTTACTAAGGCACTTGTTTATGCCATTATCCTTTTCTGCTTTAACTATTATAATTCACTCCTCTTCAGCCAGACCAATTATTGTTATTATTGGCTTCATATAGAGCCAAATTCCGTAGTGCTTTACAATATTATAAAGGGGAAATATAACAAGAAATGAGACAATTACAGATTTTTTTCTGAAAGAATAGGTTGATGAGGACGGTGCTCAAACAAGCTTACACTCTAGAGGCATTGCTCACATTGCCCCAATTCAGTCTGTAATGAATGCTGCTGCCGTAATCACCAGTACTCACCATTACATTGAACCTTCTGGAACCATTTACAATGCTTCCTGTACCCTTTTAGATACAATTCAAACTCCTGACACTAACGTACAAATCCCTCAACAATTCCACTGCTCCTTACTTTTCACTGTCCATATCCATACTTCTAACTTTCATCTTCCATCTGGCTGTGTCTATCTATCTGTCGGTCCGTCTGTCTATCTATCTATTTATCTGTCTGTCTGTCTATCTGGCTGTGTCTGTCTATCTGTCGGTCCGTCTGTCTATCTATTTATCTGTCTGTCTATCTGGCTGTGTCTATCTATCTGTCGGTCCATCCGTCTATCTATCTATCGATCTATCTGTCTATCCTTTCCTCTCTGCCTATGTGACTTTGATCAGGATGTAAAAGCTCGATATCTCTATCTTGTAAATGCCAAGAGCAAATTTATAGGATTCTTTATACATACTTTCACATTTAAATACGGTAATAATTCCAATAGGGAAACATGCACTTAGTACCACACCTAGTGTGCACCTTGAATGGAGCAATCAGACAGCCAGCTTGAGGCGCATACCATCACCATCAAACTAATTACACCTTAACTCAATATCATACTTTGAAATTACATTTATTCCACCATTCATAGCAGTCCTGGCAATGTTACAACTGGTTCAACTAAGATAATAAAAGCTGTAACCTGGGATAAATCCTGGCTATTCAGCTGGCATAGATGCTGGCTATACACCTGGGATAGATCCTCACTATACACCTGGGATAGATCCTCACTATACACCTGGGATAGATCCTGACTATACACCTGGGATAGATCCTGACTATTCACCTGGGATAGATCCTGACTATTCACCTGGGATAGATCCTCGCTATATACCCGGGATAGATCCTGACTATACACCTGGGATAGATCCTCGCTATATACCCGGGATAGATCCTGACTATACACCTGGGATAGATCCTCGCTATACACCTGGGATAGATCCTGACTATACACGTGGGATAGATCCTGACTATACACCTGGGATAGATCCTCGCTATACACCTGGGATAGATCCTGACTATACACCTGGGATAGATCCTGACTATACACCTGGGATAGATCCTGGCTATACACCTGGGATAGATCCTGGCTATACACCTGGGATAGATCCTGACTATACACCTGGGATAGATCCTGGCTATACACCTGGGATAGATCCTGACTATACACCTGGGATAGATCCTCGCTTTACACCTGTGATAGATCGTGACTATTCACCTGGGATAGATCCTGACTATACACCTGGGATAGATCCTCGCTATATACCCGGGATAGATCCTGACTATACACCTGGGATAGATCCACGCTATATACCCAGGATAGATCCTGACTATACACCTGGGATAGATCCTCGCTATACACCTGGGATAGATCCTGACTATACACCTGGGATAGATCCTCGCTATACACCTGGGATAGATCCTGACTATACACCTGGGATAGATCCTGACTATACACCTGGGATAGATTCTGGCTGGAGGTGTGACCATGTGTGTGGAAGTGTAGAACAGCAGAACCCACCTTGGACTTTCATTAGAGGTCTTTCACTGGAGGTGTGACCATGTGTGTGGAAGTGTAGAAAAGCAGAACCCACCTTGGACTTTCATTAGAGGTCTTTCACTGGAGGTGTGACCATGTGTGTGGATGTGTAGAACAGCAGAACCCACCTTGAACTTTCATTAGAGGGCTTTCACTGGAGGTGTGACCATGTGTGTGGACGTGTAGAAAAGCAGAACCCACCTTGGACTTTCATTAGAGGTCTTTCACTGGAGGTGTGACCATGTGTGTGGAAGTGTAGAACAGCAGAACCCACTTTGGACTTTCATTAGAGGGCTTTCACTGGAGGTGTGACCATGTGTGTGGAAGTGTAGAAAAGCAGAACCCACCTTGGACTTTCATTAGAGGGCTTTCACTGGAGGTGTGACCATGTGTGTGGAAGTGTAAACATTGACAGGGTTTGACAGTTCAAAGTGAATTTTCATATTTATGGCCAGAGTAGCCAAAACTGAAAGCATAGTTGACTTGTTGACTTGGTCAGTATCAGTATACATTGAATTTGGGGAAACCACTTGAAACATTTGTTGTTTTGAGTTATTTCCACTGCTTTTGTTTGATTTGTTCATTGCAAACAGCTGACAGTCTGTACATTTTGACAATAAGCTCACTTTCAATGGGGGTTGAATAATTTTGATTACACCTGTTTGCTTAAGTCACCCTGTGCCCACTATAGGTGCAGGGTGTGTATTGTAATATTATTTAGGGAAAGTCTTGTGTAATCCCCTGTCTGGCCGTGGGGACTGTGCAGCGCCATCTGCTGGTTGTAAATGAGTTTGAAACAGTTATGTACAGCACACCCTTTTGGTTGAAACAGTTATGTACAGCACACCGTTTTGGTTGAAACAGTTATGTACAGCACACCGTTTTGGTTGAAACAGTTATGTGCAGCACACCCTTTTGGTTGAAACAGTTATGTGCACTACCTAAACAGCAAGGCTCAGTAATTTGCATATTCAGGAAGATTTGCATTTTATGGTTTCTGCAGACAGGTGACGTGGTTCTTGTTAGTCATTGTCTTACCCAACCCTTGGGAGGTATGACCTTGGGTCAAACAGTGTTAGGGAAGACTAACTGTCCGACCCAAGGTGTAATAGTAGAGATGCGTTTTTCTCATTTTTTTCATATGCTTCATTTGAAAAAAAATACATTTCCCCTCAATACTCGATGAAATGATTATTAAAATAAAATACTTTTAAGGTGACCGCTGTCCTTTAAATACATGCAGTCATGTGACTGTGAAATAGCATTGTACATCCTTGGTTTATGCCTTGTATATAGTATATGCTGACCGAAATGGGAGAGGGGTCAAGTATCGACCCAAGACTCCTAACTACTGAACAAATGTTGTGGGTCCACCAGACATTCAGCACGGAGCTATGATCTCCATCAGACTGAGCTGTTGTACGACGGAATACAAGTTCCAATGTAAATGGCTGAGATGAAAATGTGTGCAACAATTTGAGACTTCTGTTAGTCAGATTCCACGCGCTATTAGCAAAGAGTTTTTCCATCACTTATTCACTCAGATTAGTCGAAGATTTGCATCCGGGTCATCTAAAAGCTTCGTAGACTGTATGAACAAGATCTTAATGAATGTCAAAAGACTGCTTCTTGTTACATATATTGGGGATTTCCTTTAATAGCCAATAGCTGGGACATTAAAAGGCATTCTGTGTGGTCCGGAGACCCTTCGTTAACATGGTGTTACTTATCACTGTGCTGCGATATCGCTACATATTCTGTAGCGCTGTACATACAGATATTCAGGCAGTATTGCGGCCCTCCCAGGTTTCTAGGATGTTAGGTCCCCTATGAAGGGACTGACCATGCCCTGGGGTCAATATTGAGCGTACCTCTAGTATTACAATATCTCAGACACCCCCCTCCCCCTGCTTGAAGTCTGCCCCACACATTCACAGCTCTCCTGATTTAACTCTTCCCATTCTGTTTGTTCACTAAATTGGGATTGTGTCAATGTACGTTAAAACATTAAAGGGCAACAAGTGACTCATCATTTCCTGATTTATATTCATCACACAGAGATTGTTTGGAACTTTAACTTGTTTCTTATTTCCTTCCAAATTGTTGGTTGAAGAGCAAGCGCTATTTGTGGGAGGAACGGCAAGTTCTTTTATTTGTGTGTATGTTTCTATGTATGTATGTATATGTGTGTATGTATGTATGTATATGTTTATGTGTGTGTGTGTGTATGTTTATGTGTGTGTGTGTATATGTATATATGTATGTATGTGTATGTTTATATGTATGTATGTTTCTATGTATGTATATGTGTGTATGTTTATGTGTGTGTGTGTATGTATACATCTCGATATAGAGCAGCCTGTAGGAACTAGCAGTGCTTAGTAGCCCATTAATATTTTATTAGCTCTATACTCCGTCCTCAGAGCCGGGCTGGCTTTAGATGGCTGCAGTCGACAGAGCGTGCTTAATATTTCAGAAGGAAAATAGGGTTTCAGCTGCCCAGTCTCTGAGTAAAAGGGGTTAAATGATGTCACCTGCGCTCAGTAACTCGATCTGTTTATACGTCCACTAACAGCAGATAAATATTTGGGTTTCTAAGGGGCCTATTCATTAATCTGAAGCCGATGCCTGGCATAGTCTGCCCAAAGAAATGCCACCTAAATTACCCTCTGCTGGCAGGATAGTAAGCTGTGCAGCGTAACTATAAATTAACCCATGGAAAGTACAGAAAGAGGAACACTGGAACAAACATTGCCAGCTCTTTACCCCCTTTCATACACCATACCAAGTATTTTTCAGAAGCTGGTACCGACCACTGACTCCATTGGTTTCCGTGTGATTTAGTTTTTCTTTGGGTTAATGCTGTGGGGGCATCCCATAATTGGGTATTTATTATTTAGACCTGAATTGTGATAAACGTCTTCTGACCACACAGAAAGGAAAGGGGCACATTTTGGGCTATTGTGGTTTCCTAAAATGTTTTAATTATTGTATGTTTCATGTATGTTTCATGTTTGTTCAATATAACTTTTTTCTGCCTGAGGTTTTATTATTTTTTTTATACACCAAGGGAGAACACATGATAGGAATTTGGCATTTAGATGTCATATTTTCTCCTTCCGCAGGTGAAAGCGGTGACAGCGGAAGGATTGGCCGGTTCATCCATGTTCATGATACAGCGAATAAGAGTGGGAAGTAAAGTGAGGTCTGTGTTCAGATGCTCAGACCTGCCGCATTAATCAGGTACCCTCTTGTTTTCTTCCGTAATAAGTCAAAAGTGTGAACCACAAGCATACAGGATTCTGGCTGCCAAAACCACATGTTACATTGTATAATTTGGCAGCTAAAATACAATTCAGACATGATAATCTACCCTTTGTAGTGCAGACAATGAATTGGTTAATTGGGAAAGTCACCTGTATACAAAGGTTGCTAGTAGTGTGTGTTTCCTACCAGATGGGGGCACTATGACTGCCTAATGATAAATAAATTTATAAACGAATTTATAATAACTTTTCTTATATAAAAACAGACACAATAGTCCATTGACACCAAGTAAAACATGTTGGTTTGGTACATGCAGTCTCTGGTGATAGTAATTGACAGATCTGCAGTCGGTTGTTAAAGTGTGTGAGCGTGTGTGTATGCGATTTCCCCATTCTGCATACTCCCCCTCACCCCTCTCCCGCTCAGAGAAGAGCAATGGATACAGAGTTCCAATATTTAGAACACCTTTTTGTCAGATGTAGGGATACCAGTCTACATTATAGTAAACCAGGGGACCAATAGGAATGTTGGGTTTCCGCGATCCATCGTATTGCTAACTCCCCCTCTTTTTGCAGGTGGATAAAACTGTAATTTGATTAAAATGAAAGCACATTAAAATGCACAGTATTCATTGTTACTATTTAATATTCCGTGAGTCCTTGATTAATTCAGTTTCAGATTTGCAGTTATCATTTACAATAAGTTGGTGCCAGCAATTGTGGGTAAAGCATGGGGATAAGATCTTGAGAACATTTATGCTATTTAGCTTTACACGGATTAAACATATATACAAACATGTTATAACGTGAATCTCCATCCTTCCTGGGTAAAACAGACAGACGGTCTAGTTTTACCTGGAACGTAAATGGTAAATAAAAGCAGATAACTATTGTGCCCGTTCTGCCCACCTCTCCTACTCTCGGACAGTTTACCTGTCAGGCATGTTGCTAGGTGGCTAAAAATCAGGGTGTTTTGGCCCCTCCCACATATATTAGCTGAAGCCCCCCAATAGCCAGCCCTACGCAACATCCTCGAGTTGAGCCTTAAACCCAAACATGTTCAGTAACTCGCATTGGCACTACAAATCTTTTAATGAATTCACTGCCTGTCTCTCTATCTGTCTGTCTGTCTGTAAGTCAGTCTGTCAAAGTCTATTTACAGAGATGACTCATATACTATTTATCTATCTAATCACATCCAAAACATCCCTGAATTCCCTTATTATGCTAGCCTGACATATCACTGTTAGCCTGTACTGCTTCCACTGGAAGGCTATTCCAGGTATCTACTACCCTTTTAAATGACTGTTAGTCTGTACTGCTCCAACTGGAAGGCTATTCCAGGTATCTACTACCTTTTCTATATCACTGTTACTGCTCCCACTGGAAGGCTATTCCAGGTATCTACTACCCTTTCTATATCACTGTTACTGCTCCAACTGGAAGGCTATTCAAGGTATCAACTACCCTATCTATATCACTGTTACTGCTCTCACTGGTAGTATCTACTACCCTTTCTATATCACTGTTACTGCTCCAACTGGAAGGCTATTCAAGGTATCAACTACCCTATCTATATCACTGTTACTGCTCTCACTGGTAGTATCTACTACCCTTTCTATATCACTGTTACTGCTCCAACTGGAAGGCTATTCAAGGTATCAACTACCCTATCTATATCACTGTTACTGCTCTCACTGGTAGTATCTACTACCCTTTCTATATCACTGTTAGCCTGTACTGCTCCCACTGGAAGGCTATTCCAGGTATCTACTACCCTTTCTACATCACTGTTAGCCTATACTGCTCCCACTGGAAGGCTATTCCAGGTGTCTACTACCCTTTCTATATCACTGTTACTGCTCCCACTGGAAGGCTATTCCAGGTATCTACTACCCTTTCTATATCACTGTTACTGCTCCCAGTGGAAGGCTATTCCAGGTATCTACTACCCTTTCTATATCACTGTTACTGCTCCCACTGGAAGGCTATTCCAGGTATCTACTACCCTTTCTATATCACTGTTACTGCTCCCACTGGAAGGCTATTCCAGGTATCTACTACCCTTTCTGTATCACTGTTACTGCTCCCACTGGAAGGCTGTTCCAGGTATCTACTGCCCTTTCTATATCGCTGTTACTGCTCCCACTGGAAGGCTATTCCAGGTATCTACTACCCTTTCTATAGCACCATTAAATTATTTCACTGGAAGGTATCCCCTTACTGTTATAACCCTTTCAATATCCACTAGAAGACTGTTCCATGCATTTACTATGCTTTCTACAAAGCCTTTTTTTCTCACCTTATTCCCTAGTCTTCCATTTTTCTTCTAGTACTTAGAAATGAAAGCGTTTTGTATGTATCAGCCAGTAGGATTATTGTGTCTATTGTTAACATATATCAGCTGTTAAAACATTTGGAATGCAAAATCCATAGTTATACCACCCAGGGCAGTGATAACACTTGTAGAGTTATTCACTAAGGTGTGAATTGTTGGAAATTGGAAGTTAATTCAAAAATCAAATACTGGGCTAAAGTAGCCAAACAAAAAAATTAGCTGATTTTTTTCCCTTCAAGTTTAGCTATTTTTATCAAATTCAGCTATACCCAAAATGGGAAAACCAAATTAAATGCACTTTTAGGCTACAATACAAATGATTTAAAAAAAAAAAAACGTTCCAAGTAAGTTTTTGTCATAGAATTACAATTCAGTTTTTAGTGAATTAACCCCCACTTTACCTGCCGCCTGGCTAGCTCACACACCGCACGGATATTCCAGGTATCTACTACCCTTTCTATATCACTGTTACCGCTCTCACTGGAAGGCTATTCCTGGTATCTACTACCCTTTCTATATCACTGTTACTGCTCCCACTGGAAGGCTATTCCTGGTATCTACTACCCTTTCTACATCACTGTTACTGCTCCCACTGGAAGGCTATTCCAGGTATCTACTACCCTTTCTACATCACTGTTACTGCTCCCACTGGAAGGCTATTCCAGGTATCTACTACCCTTTCTATATCACTGTTACTGCTCCCACTGGAAGGCTATTCCAGGTATCTACTACCCTTTCTATATCACTGTTACTGCTCCCACTGGAAGGCTATTCCAGGTATCTACTACCCTTTCTATATCACTGTTACCGCTCCCACTGGAAGGCTATTCCAGGTATCTACTACCCTTTCTATATCACTGTTACTGCTTCCACTGGAAGGCTATTCCAGGTATCTACTACCCTTTCTATATCACTGTTACTGCTCCCACTGGAAGGCTATTCCAGGTATCTACTACCCTTTCTATATCACTGTTACTGCTCCCACTGGAAGGCTATTCCAGGTATCTACTACCCTTTCTATATCACTGTTACTGCTCCCACTGGAAGGCTATTCCAGGTATCTACTACCCTTTCTATATCACTGTTACTGCTCCCACTGGAGGCTATTCCAGGTATCTACTACCCTTTCTATATCACTGTTACTGCTCTCACTGGAAAGCTATTCCAGGTATCTACTACCGTTTCTATATCACTGTTACCGCTCCCACTGGAAGGCTATTCCTGGTATCTACTACCCTTTCTATATCACTGTTATCGCTCTCACTGGAAGGCTATTCCTGGTATCTACTACCCTTTCTACATCACTGTTACTGCTCCCACTGGAAGGCTATTCCTGGTATCTACTACCCTTTCTATATCACTGTTACTGCTCCCACTGGAAAGCTATTCCAGGTATCTACTACCGTTTCTATATCACTGTTACCGCTCCCACTGGAAGGCTATTCCAGGTATCTACTACCCTTTCTATATCACTGTTACTGCTCCCACTGGAAGGCTATTCCAGGTATCAACTACCCTTTCTATATCACTGTTACTGCTCCCACTGGAAGGCTATTCCAGGTATCTACTACCCTTTCTATATCACTGTTACTGCTCCCACTGGAAGGCTATTCCAGGTATCTACTACCCTTTCTATATCACTGTTACTGCTCCCACTGGAAGGCTATTCCAGGTATCTACTACCCTTTCTATATCACTGTTACTGCTCCCACTGGAAGGCTATTCCAGGTATCTACTACCCTTTCTATATCACTGTTACTGCTCCCACTGGAAGGCTATTCCAGGTATCTACTACCCTTTCTATATCACTGTTACTGCTCCCACTGGAAGGCTATTCCAGGTATCTACTACCCTTTCTATATCACTGTTACTGCTCCCACTGGAAGGCTATTCCTGGTATCTACTACCCTTTCTATATCACTGTTACTGCTCCCACTGGAAGGCTATTCCAGGTATCTACTACCCTTTCTGTATCACTGTTACTGCTCCCACTGGAAGGCTGTTCCAGGTATCTACTGCCCTTTCTATATCGCTGTTACTGCTCCCACTGGAAGGCTATTCCAGGTATCTACTACCCTTTCTATAGCACCATTAAATTATTTCACTGGAAGGTATCCCCTTACTGTTATAACCCTTTCAATATCCACTAGAAGACTGTTCCATGCATTTACTATGCTTTCTACAAAGCCTTTTTTTCTCACCTTATTCCCTAGTCTTCCATTTTTCTTCTAGTACTTAGAAATGAAAGCGTTTTGTATGTATCAGCCAGTAGGATTATTGTGTCTATTGTTAACATATATCAGCTGTTAAAACATTTGGAATGCAAAATCCATAGTTATACCACCCAGGGCAGTGATAACACTTGTAGAGTTATTCACTAAGGTGTGAATTGTTGGAAATTGGAAGTTAATTCAAAAATCAAATACTGGGCTAAAGTAGCCAAACAAAAAAATTAGCTGATTTTTTTCCCTTCAAGTTTAGCTATTTTTATCAAATTCAGCTATACCCAAAATGGGAAAACCAAATTAAATGCACTTTTAGGCTACAATACAAATGATTTAAAAAAAAAAAAACGTTCCAAGTAAGTTTTTGTCATAGAATTACAATTCAGTTTTTAGTGAATTAACCCCCACTTTACCTGCCGCCTGGCTAGCTCACACACCGCACGGATAAAACAATGCTATACTTTGTATAATGTCTAGAAGAAGACACTGTGTGTAAAACATGGCTGTCTATAAAGCGGATGAGACAAGATGTCTTCCATGCTTTTGTGCCTCTTCCTACTTAGACCATAAATGGCGTAGATATTAAACCATCACTCGAATCTCTGAAACAATTCCGCTTTTATTCCGTCTGTTTATATAAAACACCACCTGACGAAAGTGATCTTTAAATAAAGGTTAAGCTTAAGGCACAGAATCCTGTGTAATATAAGCTGATGGAATTTTGATTTTTCTCGTGGTGAAATATCAGATGTCTGCAGAATTCACAGTTGTTTACATTTATTTTGCCAGGATCCACTGCCTTTGAGGTCTTTGTCCTCAGCCTACCTTTGTTCCCTCCCACACTGCGGCCTGAGACGCTCACATATTGCATTACCGGGAGATCGCGTTCTGTAAATTTGGTTTTGCACCAAAAAGGTTTTCAGTGCTTATTACAGGCAATCTAATTCACTGAAAGATAAGACTATCGAATGCAGAAAACAAAGCGGCCTCCATGCTACACGCTGCTCCTGCAGACTGGATGTCGTAGCGATTCTGGGGAGGTTATAGCTCAGCACAGCCATTAAACGGGGGGCAAGGAATTACTGGCAGTCAGTGGGGATTGTTTTTACTAAACTAGGAATTGTGGAAGATTGACATGAGAATTGCAACTTTTAGACCAGATTAGCTGAGCTGAAAAACTAGCTTTGGAGAATATTAGTAAAAATTTGCAATTCTTCACAAATTCTCTCTTTAGCGAGTAAACCCAATAAAGGATATGGGAGTATAGAACTCTGCACACCTTTAATTGTGTACATTAGACTCTGAAAAATACAGATATCTTATACCTAGAAATGTAAAGATTGACTTCACAGAAATGTGCTTATTGTGTGTCTAAAAATACACCCATCTCATTCCCAGGAACATGTAGGCAACGATTAGATATACACAAATACAAGCCCTGACATTTCAAATACCCAACAAGCAAGTCGCTGGGGCTTACTGACTAAACAGTGTGTTGTCACGAGTTGGGGGGAAAAAAGTGTCGGAATTTTGCAAGTCAATAGTTATCTCTCCAGAATCTAAGTTTAGGGAAAAAAATCCAAATGTAAATGAATTATCTTCATACAGCGTTATTCACTAAATCCTGGATTGCAGCAATTTAAAAAGTGATCAAGATTGAGGCTAAATAGCTGAACTAACTTTTTTTTCCAGGATCAGGTATTTGTAAATAGCCGATTTTGAAAACTAAAATGATGCATGTTTGGTTTCCAGTTCACTAGGTGTTTAGTGAATAAACCGTATAGAAGGCAGCAATGCTACTTAAACGGTACTCTTACCTCATGGAGAGGCGTAATATTACCTACTGAGCACAAGGGAGAAGGTCCCCCCTCTCAATTAGCAGAAAATCTGCAAATAAAATGTTTTACTTACTTTGAGTCCAGCACCGCGCGGAGCTCCCCGTGCCTCTCTTCTGCGCCCCCCTCCAATTTCACTCTGACCATGTGTAGTCCAATAACACAAAAGCCTGTGATTGGACCATTTCACTGGCTAAGAGCTCATTGAAGTAGTCATGGTAGTAGGAGTAACCCTTTAAACCCAATTCCCAGTTTCACTGTACTTTGTTTATGTACTGTTTATAAAGGATGTGGCATCAGAGGAAATCACTTTACCTAGTGTGTTACCCACTTAGAGCAAGACAGGGGTATTTTCTCTACACACATTGTTACAGATACATTAATTCCCGTAATCTGTTGACATTTGCGACTTCACTTTATGACGTCTCAGTCAACTTATTGCTCCTGGCGATTTCATTGTTGTTTTTATTTTTTTTGTGCTTTTGAATATCATTATGTTTTTGTGTGGAGTACGTGTGTGCATGTAGGGGTGTATTTGTATGTACTGTTGCCGCTAGAAGGCAGTGGTGTACTTCTCTGCAATGTTTGCGTTTGAATGCAGGGGTGTGTTTGTATGTAGTGTTAGCTTTAAATGCATGTGTACGTTTAAATGAAGGGTATGTATATAACTTTGGCATTTTAATACAGGGGTGTGTTTGTAATGTTTGTGCTTGATTGCAAGGGTGTATGTGCATGAAGTGTTTGCTTGTGGGGATATATGCATGTACACACATACACTGCCACATACATACACAGACACACATTGACACACACACATACATTCATGGACATACACACACTGACACATACAAACATATGCACACACTAATTCATACACAAGCATTGGCAGTAGTTTTGTTGCCGAGGCAGACCAGTGACACCATCTGGCTCACTGATATCACCCAAAGGGTTGGACATACCATGAAAGAATATGCATGTCTGCCTAGCACCGTTACAATGCTTTCTACATAGTCTGAGCACCCTTAGTGTTTAATGATGTGCATGTGTTCTCTGGTGATAGTTTCATTGTTTCCCCAAAAGTGGGACACCAGGAAAAGGATGGCAGGATAGGACGTCAAAATAGTTACAGTTCTACTGAATTCGGGACCCTTGGGAGACCTGCAACTGTTATCAAATTACAAACCCCTGAAGGAGTATGGGAAATGTAGTTTTTGGAGTTCACCTCACTGTCAAACATATTATCTGCTCTTAGAAACATCAACATACCTCTCAATAGACCTGGGAAAGGGCCAGGAACAGGAGGACAGGGATCCAATATCAGGAATGTCAAACTTAGAACAGAGTGAGACCAGCGCCCCCCAGAGTCAGAGCCATAGAAGGTTAGGGACTAAGATCCCACAGCAGAAGTAGTCCATCCACAGTCACTTTTACCTCCTATCACTAGGCTCTCTATTGTACTCTGCCAAAATATCGGGGCAGGGTGCCAAACACCCAGACTGAGTGAGAAGAGGGGCCATAAGATTCTGACGATCGGATAATTATGGTTTATGAATTTCAGCTTTAATCTGCAGTTCACAGAGTCCTGATTAAATATCAGTTAAACACAATTAAAGTTTGTGTTATGTTTCCCCGTCTTGATCAGAATAATTAG